ATAACCCATTAAATGAAATAGAAATCTGTGAGTCCCTATCATAAGTAAATGGGGAGAAGAGAAAGCTTTTGCTTAAAATATGATGCCAATTAATAAATACAGGAGAAATGACAGAATGAGAAAAATCATCTTTTGACAACTATGTCAGTAATAAATAATTCAGATGGTAAAATAAATCAGTGAAATATGAGAAAAAGGCTATTTATATGGTTTCAAAATTTCTCCTGGCACCAATTAAATTAATTACTCAACAAGAAATAGAAAGAACTGGCAGATGTCATGTAAACCGAGTAATAAAAGTGAACACCACAAGTGCGGGACAAGCTGACACTGGGTGCCTCCTGGCGTGAGTTACGAGAAGGCAGCACCACCGCTGCAGAAAGTCCACAAAGCAACTGGCCTGCACTCTCCAGACTTCAAGGTCATGACAGATAAAGAAAGGATGACTTATTGTTTTGGACCGAAGGAGAAGAAAGAGACAAGTACATGTGACCCATAACCCTGGAATCAATTCTGGATTATTAAAAACATGACCGGAGCCCTGGCTGGCGCAGCTCAGTGGATTGAGCGGGGGCTGAGAAACAGTGTCACTGGTTTGAATCCCAGTCAGGGCACATGCCTGGGTTGCAGACCAGGTCCCACGTGGGGGCACACAATAGGCAACCACACATTGATGTTTCTCTCCTTCCCTTCCTCTCTAAATATAAATAAAAATAAAATCTTAAAGGACAACTGATACAATGCAGCGGGGCCCGTGGGTTAAACGGTAATACTGTGCCAACGCTAATTTCCTGGTTTTGCTGTTTGTGGTGTGGCTACGCAGACTGCATCCTTACTTAGAGGAAACACACAGTGAAGTACTGAGGTGTAATGGGGGATCCTGTCTGCAGTGTGAAAATTCGTATCACTCAGAAAAAGTACGTACGTGCAGGATGTGGGAGTATGTGCCCCAGTGTGAGTGTGTACGAGAGAAGGGGAAGAGAGAACCGTTAACCGAGGAATCCAGGTGAAGGATACACAGGGGCTCTATGTACAATTCTTGTAATAATCCTGAATGTCTGAAATGAATTTACAGAGAAACCAGCAGTTCCCAGCAGGGGACTCATGAAGGGCAACCATACACTGATATTTCTCTCCTTCCCTTCTCCTCTTAAGATAAATAAATAAAATCTTTAAAAAAAAAAGAAAAGAAAAGAAGTGCTCAAAACAATGACGGGGGCATGTAAAAGGAGGTGAAAAACCAGTCTGAAGGGGGTTCAAATGGCCAAATCGGGGACTATTTGAGCATTAATGTAAATAATGACGGATCCTATAAGAAAAAAAAAAAAAAACATTAGTGGGAAAACTGGTGAAATCAAATTAGGTCTGGCATTTAGTATAATACTGTCCCAAGCTTGAGGCAGCCAGAGAGGAAGGAGAAGCTCTGTATCAACAAGTCATTCGAGGGAACTCAGGAGAACGGGCAGAAATGGAGTCACTCACTAATAATTTCTTTGACTGAGACTGTACCCAAATGAAGTGAACAAAGTGCCTATGTAGAGAAATCTCTTCTACAAGAGTCAGCAGAAGACAATCACTACATTCCCAAAGGCAGAAGATGTACTTCCTCTTTGAACGTGAACAAAAAATTGAGAAAGTTACTCAAAGCAGAGAACGCCAGCTTAGCCCAACCTGTTAAAGAGGCGGCTTCAGGGACATCCCCACTTCTGCCTCCTGCCGAGTACTGGCTCTGCAGTTCTCCTGAAGCTGCTTGGCTTTTGGCTGGGGGGGATGCTACCAGAATTTTCCCTGTGCAGGTGGAGGCTGGGGAGGTGAGGGGATGGACCTCAGGCCAGGCCCAATAGAAGGCTGGCAACACTGAGCGGGCCACCGGCCGCCCAACCACCTCGGAGCCCAGAACAGGATCACGGGAGGGGAAGGGGGGGAGGGAGGAAAGGAGGGCAGAGCAGACACAGTTCCTGAGCACCACTCACTTGTGCCAAGTACCCGTGTGTCACTGCATTTCATCCTCACCACTAATCCTGTGAAAGGGCTGGGGTCAGGGTCATTAACTTTACCGCAGAGAGAACGAAAGGCACTCGGGTGTTAGGTGCCACACCCGGGGTCCCAGGCCAGTGACTGCAGGGCTCCGACTCGGGCCCAGGTCTGTGCGGCAGCCAGGCCCGCGTCCTCTCCACCACACTGGGCTGGGTCTCTGTCATCTGGGAGCTTGTGAATGGCCTGAGATTCTCCTCCTTTGAAGATTTTTGAGTCAGAACTACAAGAGTAGTAACTTGTATAAAACCAGTCCCCAACTGAGTTTCTCCCCAGCCTTATGATTCTTTGACTTAAGGGAGGAAGAGCTTTCAAGAACCCCTTGAAATTGCACTAAAAAAATAGTGTGTGGGTTTATAAAGATTTATTTTGGCAAGAAGGTCTCTGGCTTTCATTAGGTCCTCAAAGGGATCTGCCTCAGAAAAGGTCAATAACCACTGCTTTGAGCATTATTTTGTCTGACTCTCTCCTTTAACAGATGAGGAAGTGGATTTTGTGAATTCTATTTTCTGCTTCAAGCTTTGTGCTGCTTTTTCTGGAGCGATAACAGCACAACCTACGCGGTTCTCCTACGAGTAGCTTCCGCTACTTCCCTCGTGCTGTGGAAATATCCCAGGGAGGCCAGACGGCAGGATGAGTGGCCAGCACTTCATTTTTCATAGAGAAATGGAGAGTCCCTAAGGAAGGGAGGTCTGGCTCTTGGCCCAATGCACCATGAACAATGAGTACACTCTATGTGAACCAGGGCCATGGGAAGAGAAGTAGATAGCAGAATTGTAACAGTTCAGAGAAATGACTGTTTAGACCAGGCAGGTTTGGGGAAGGTACGTGGTTGTCTCCTAGGTACTTTAAACCCTGGACCCAGCCACTTTTCAGCCTTTTTAAAAATGAGAACTTGGGTTGATAAGGGGCTTTGTCCAAAAACAGTCATCCATGTGGGTTGCTTTAAGACCTGTCAATCTAGTAGGCAAACAACTGATCTTTTTTTCTCGCCTTTTCTGGGGTGTCTTAGTAATAAAACTTTCTGAATGCAGAAGATGGGGTGCTTTCGGAGGACTGAGATGCGACAGTCACCACTACCCTGAGTGCCTGCAGACAGGAACCCAATGGAGAGAGAACAGGAAGAAAACTGTGGTGTTACGAGGCAAAAAATGTCAAGGGGACTTTTTTTGGAGGGGTAGGGGTCATCAGCAAGGAGGTTTTTGTTAACGTAGAAAGCCTTCTACAAAGTTCATTTTCTGGGATTTTAATATGAAGCATTTTGTCGCTGGGGAGGAAAAGAGTAGAAACTATAAAATCAAGCAGATGAATAATAACAATGTTCCATGTGGTGATTCCACTTGAAATATTCTCTTAATCTTATGGTTTACCTCTGCAACATATTTGGAAACAAGATTTGCTAACCCATGACAGAATCATTAAAAAAGGTTGGGGAGGGGAGACTGGATTTCAGTGCCTAAATGCTTTCCCAGAGACCTCCCTGGAGAACTTTTTCCCAGCCGCTGCTGTTCCCTCCGTGAGAGCCACTGTCTGGTCCTGCTACGTGGGTTCTGTAGGGCACAGGCCTCCCTTCAGCGCCTGGGCCAGCCTGTCTCCAGGCAGCTCGGCGGTTTCAGAAACTTGACCTTTTCGAGATCTGCCTTCCAGTGTGGAAGGGTCTGGATACTTTGGCTGCGGGCAGAGACTCAGAGATGAGAGGGGGTCTTCCACCTTCCCTTGAACAGCGGCCACTGGAACGCAAACGTATTCTTCTGGCCGTAAGGAAACTTGCTTCCAGCGGCCGCTCTGCACATTTTCTGGAGCCATTAAGTTTGTAAGAGGAACATAAATTAAGTGGATGATAATCCCTAAAAGAAGGTAAGAACCCATCAATCCATACTGACATAAATAAACAAACAACTGTGGGAGGAGGGGAAGCTTCTTCTAATAGAAGAACTCTGATTAGTGAATGTAGAAGAAATGATGGCCTCAGACAATCAACGGTCAGTAAACACTACAAAAGTAATTACTGCAGGCAGGAAGCACCCAGGGATGTCAGAGTGAGTGGGCAAAGTGTGATGAGAAAGAGGATACTGACACAGTCCCGAGGTACGCCCCCACAGACAGACTCAGTAACTGTACAAACAGCAGCTCCACAGCACAGAGCACACACTGGCAGACACCACTTAGAGTGAGTGATCAGTCAGTGTCATAAGTAATGGGACAGAGCCACGTGATGTGCCTCCTGACACGATGTGCTGAGGACGCAGCGTGACCTCTACGGCATTCTTGCATAACTTGGATTTAATCAAGGGGCAATGTCAAACTGAAATTAAGGGCATTGTACAAAACGACTGATCAACACTCTTCAGAAGCGTCAAGGTCGTGAAAGACAACGGAGACTGAGGAACCACTTAAGATTAAAAGAGGCTACAGAGACTCAACAGCTACATGCACAACGGGATCTTGGACCAGAAAATGGACATTAACGAGACAATGTTACTGTCCTGACTTTGACGACTAGGGTTGTGGAAAATGTGAACATTCTCTGGGGGAATGGTCTATGAGAATGCTTTACAACTCTTTTGTAAATCTAAATTATTTCGAAATGAAAAGTTAAACAAATTATACTTGAAGACACACACATCAGAGATTAGGCTTGCTTTCTCCATCTCCCAGCGCCTGCCACGGTGAAGCCTTGCGTGCTGACACATGCAGCTCTGCAAGGGCTCAGTGCCCGCACGGGAAGGCGGTGTTGGGATCCATTTGGGACCTTATTAGAGTCAAAAATCAGGCGTTTTAGATTTATAGACATAATAAATCACATTCAAGAGACATAAAAATATCCGTAACAGTTTTCCCGGGAGGGTCACAGGCATGCCAAGGCCTTCCTTCAGCCTCTGGAAAGAGCTGCACCCTTGGGAAGCCCAGCCATGACCGCAGGAGGGAGAAATGCAATAGAAAAGAGCAAAACGTTCATCACTCACTTGTCCTGGGACTCGATATACACATAGAGATGAGGCTCGAAACACTTGGAAACAATGCTGTGAAATGGATTGTCTGGGGCTTTCGGCTTCTTTGGCTGTAAAAGGAAAACATAAAAAAAAAAGGAAAGAAAAAAGAAACTCTATACTTGAGCCGTCTTTGCAAATTTTCAAGCAGTTTCAAAGTAAACATCTCTTCCAAGTTCACTCCTTATAGATAAGAAGCACTCAATGTAACTAACTGGGACTATATCCTGCAGTATAATTCATGCCAACTTGTGAACAATAAGCCAGCTTTGTTTGCAACATTTACTTGCCTTGTATGGTGAAAGATTTACTGCTACTTTGATAATGCATACGTTTTCAATTTGGAAGCTATTCATCATCTGACTGATGTTTTAAAATTTTAAATCCTAGCTAATAACAGCACCTTATATTTGTATAGTGCTTTAAAATTTATAAAGTGTGTTCACATGATCTAATTTTGACAGCTTCCTCTTACTGACTGTTATTATGGGCCAGGGACTTTGATACAAAGTAACATCTCATCCATTCCTCAAAATGACCCTCAAGGCAGGAGCTATCATTACTCTTTACACCTAAAGAAAGAGGTCCAGTGGGGCCTAGCAGGCTGCCCAAAGGTGTAGGGGAGGTCCTACCCTCTCAACTAGAACTCTTTCTGCTGTGTCCTTGCTTTCCTGCAGTGGTTCCTAGACTGTTGAATTTCACCAAAAAGTACATGTAAGAAAAAGGATGGGGGACAACATAGGGTTGCTAACTTTTTATCTGGCAAATTTCTATCCTCACCACTAGTTCCTAAAAGAAAATACTGCATACTCTTTACATTTTTATATAGAAAAAATAGCAGAATAAAGGCAGTCCTTTCTAAGAAAAGATACTTGGTGGCCTTAGAATAGATAGATGACAGAAAGGAAGAAAGAAGAGGAAAGAAACGCAGAGAAGGAAAGAACAGGAAAGGAAAAAGACTGGAGACTGGCTGGCTGTTTTGTCTTTATTTTTGGCCTTGGACCAGCGAAACACTGGACCAGCGCTGGTCCCTACTGACAGCTGGGAACCACTGATATATAGGTCATTTAGGCAGGCAAACATTTAAAACTGTATTTGCTACTTAATTCCTTTTTAAAACATCTAAAAATAAACAAGAATTTTTCTACATATTTCTTTCTATTCCTAACAAAGGTCAATTCCATCTGTTGTTACATGCCAATGAAAGGACCCCAAACCTTTGCTTGGGTTGATATTAGAGTGTAATTTTTGTGTAAGTTGGTACCCACAGGATACTTTGTTGAACTGAACTGCTCATGTCTTTCAATAGATACGGGAAAAGGTAAGCTCCTCCTAACAGAAATAATGATTACCTTCTTCTGGTAACTAAAAAATAAAATAAAATAAAATGTTGGAATGTTACATGCACCTATAAAAACTGGTAATGATCACCAAAAATTAAATGTCAGCCTCAGACCATCACTCTCATAGTTAGCTCTATTCCACTCTCACCTTCTAAGAGCACCTTGTCTTTGTTTTATAATATTCCTAGAAACTCTGGACCTCCCTAAGCATAACTACAGTCTGGGCTGTTTTCTCTTATCACCCAGAAGCCACTGCCAAACTCAGGCCTCAGGCCGAGACTACAGGAGACCCCAACACTGTGTTCCCTGAGTTTAAACCAGCAGGACCAGAGTCCCACTTCCCTTCCTAGACGCCGGGCGTTTCCCACATTCCCTTCGTTTAAAACAGAAGATCCACGGTGTGCAGTGTGGCGGCTCTGCGGGGGTGGGTCCTTACCTATTTGTTCTTTTTTCCAAGTCGGCTGTTTTTTATTAGTTTTTTTTTTTTTTAAAGCAGGCCCACACTCAATCCACTGAGCTACACCAGCCAGGGCTTATTAGTTTTCAATAGGTGCTTTGTTAAATGAGTTGACAATGTGATTTGTCTAACTCTGTAAGACTAGATATCCTGAATTTAGAATTGGAAAATATGACAATACCCAGATATCATTTTATTAATTAAAATATAATTATTGTATTATAATTATTCCTTTTATTTACATCTTTTCCCTTGATGAAAATATTCACACATCTGTAGGATAGCTTCTAGTAATTATAAGAGGAAGTTTACGTAATGCAGAATATTGTTGTGTTTTAAATCAACACGCACATTTTCTTTTTGGCTTCATTTACTTACTAATTTACGGGTACTTTTCCAATTATTGACAATGTTTTATTACTTTAGAATGACTATGAGATTTAAATGAAACCTACAGATAACAGTATTGAAATGATGTTAAATTTTCTAATTTTGAATCTGTGGTAATTTAAGTGAATGTCCTTCTTAAGAAATAAGTACTGGAATATTTAGAGGTCAAGGGCATAATATCTGCAAACTTACAAACTGTTCTGGAAGAGAGTGAAAGGAGGGAGGAGGAGGGAGGGAGGGAGGAGTTGGGAGGATATGATAAAAGTAAATGTACAAAAATATTAACAACTGATAAACCCAGGTGAAAGACTTTAAAGAGTCCTTGTAATATTCTTAAAACTTCTCTAAGTTTGACATTTTTTCAATCTACTGAGCCACATAAGCCAGGGCAAAGTTTGACTTTTTTTTTAAAAAGTAAAATCAAACAGAAAACATGGGACACAGGTGCCAGTGGCCTGGCGTGGAATCCCAGCGACAACAGTGGAGGACTCCTGAGAAAGGGCACACTGGCCACATTCCGGATGGCCGGGAGGGCAGCGACGTGTGGGAAAACACATCCGGGCCGGAGAGAGGAGGGGCTAAAAGGAATTCCCTGCTTCTGATGAGGCACCATGTGAGCTGTCAGCACTCTTATATGAGTGGATGTGTAATTATTCTAAAATAAAGTTTTTTTAAAAGTGGTTCAGGAGACATGAACTCTGAATGTGAAAAAGTTTTAGGAATATCTTAACCTATTTTATTTTGCTTATGTTTTCCTTTCCATGTGTGCACAAAAGTGATATGTGATAAAAACCTCCAAGCCTGAAGAGCTCATTCAGGAAAGTATGAAATACAGATTCTAAGGGACAAAAGAAAAGGCCGACGTGATCCTGCGGCAAACTCGTCCTGGTCTGTCTCCTCCAGGCCCTGTGCTTCAGGAGGCCCCCCACAGGACACTGAATTTGGCCTTCAGAGCGGCATAACCAGACAGAGCGGACATCCCAAACCCACCCACAGGTGACTGCTCTGCATGCCTCTGCCCGCTAATGCCAGCCAGGCAGTGACAACAGAGACCTGCCACCATAGTTCTGGGTCCTCTCGCAGCCTTTTTAGTGAGAGGGGGAAGGAAGAGGAGAACAATAGGAGAGATTGCCTGAAGCTCCCTTTCTTTCCACAGGGCTGCCCACTGCCTATAGCTGCTTTACAAATGTGCTCATGTTTAAATAATAGGTGCTGGAATTTCAGCGCAGGCTGGTGTCTGCCTTTGCACTGTCCAGCTCCCCAAAGGCTTGATTCTCAGCTTCAAGCGCATCCTAAGTCATTTAGCAGTAGCACTCAGGCTGGATTTCTGAGTGTGTGAATTCTGTCCAAAAGCTGCAGATGTTTAAGCCATTTCCTCCTGCAGTTTGATGGAATAATACAGGGTTACTGTTGTCACAGTAAGGAGGTCTGCAGCTGGCCCCATTTCCTTTTATTACTATCCAACGTCAACAGATTAAATCTAACTGCTCGCATCACCAGAAGGGGACATTTCTAACCATAAATTCCTTTCTTCTTTTCCCTCTTTCTTTTATATTCAGTCTCTTTTCATATGCCACTTTTTATCACTGGGAATAGGTTGGCAACTGATTGTTCAAACTGAATGCCTCTTTTCAAGTTCACTCTCCCTTCCCTATAACCTAAACTTCAGCAGAGAGTAGGGCATGAGTCTGACCTTGAGGGCAAACTGACTGCTGTGCTGCAATGGGTTAGGTAACCCAGGATGACCACCAGCCCCCCCACCTCTGGCTGAGCTCACTGCAGCATCCTGTGGACTGCCTCCCCAGTGCCCCACCAGGCCCCTGCGCACCCAACTGCGGAAGCCAGTAAGTGGCTGGGAAGGGGAAGATCCTGGAGCTCCCACCCAATTAATCACAAGCAGGACAAGTGCTTGTGAGGCAGTGCAAGGTCGGGAAGGTGTGTGAGGAGGCATTAGTCACTGGTGCGTAAGTTTTATTACTAACAAGCAGCAGCCTATGAAATTGCAAGTGGATAATCTAGTCCAGGGATTTTTAGTACTTCATTTTTAAACACACACAAAACTCCTGGTTCAAAAGAAATTCTACCTGGATGTCCACGATAAAAGTGGCTCATAATAAAACTGCTCTGCTCAGAGGGCCCTGGTCTCCTCCAACTCCCCATATCTGATGGCGGCACCATGGAATCAGTTTGAAAGCCATTAGTTCTCTCTTCCGTTCTATATTCTTACCTGAGGACATTTTTTTTATTGCTTTTAGAGAGAGAAGAAGGGAGAGAGAGAAATATTGATGCAAGAGAGAAGCATCGATTGGCTGTCTCCCATATACGCCTGGACTGGGAACAGAGCCCGGACTGGGAATCAAACCCACAACCCTTCGGCTACAAGACGATGTTTCAGCCAACTGAGCCACAGCGGTCAGGGCCATTAGTTCTCTCTAAAGATGAAGAAACTAGGGAAGTCTGCAGAGAGTGAAAATCTACTGAAGGTCACACGGGTCAGTTAAGGACAGACCAGAGTCTAGCATTTTTTCCCCTAGCACATGACTCTGCTTTACCGCATATATCTGTGTTCTGTGTCCTTGGAATGAGCAGGTCTAGGTCATTAACAACAATAACCTTGGGCTTCCAGAATGAGCAAAAGTTTCATGTGAAATAGAAGTCGTATTTTACATGACAAAACTGATTTTGTAGGTAATGGGGGACTCTACCCTAGTCCAGTTTAATAACATGCAGAGATGACTAGCTGCAAGGATGACTTTGCACAGCAGCGCTGCAGCGTCCGAGTGCTCAGCTCCACAACTCTGGCCATGGCGACGGCAGCCACTAGCAGTGGGGAAACACAGGGGCCCTGAAAATGGCATTACTGCATGAAGCAAGCCCCAAGGGGGCAGGTGAGCCCGTGTGGGAGGAGGGCTCAAGAACGAGCTCTACATCCAGATTCCTCTCCATCGGCCTCTCCTCCCAAAATGTTAGAAGAAATCTCTTGTTTTCTCCCGTCCTGGCTGACAGGATGGCAGTAAATCAATCACATTTAATCCCACAGATCTCTGGGATACAGCCTTAAGCCATCCCTTCAGTTTTATTCATTCGCTTTTATCCGTGGGATTCATTTCTATGCCCTCCACTTTTCATTGAGACCTCACAGTATAATAGAAAGAGCACCAAGAAAATAACTCTAGTCTCTGACTGGTGGAGCTGGCTTCCAGTCCTAGCTGCTCCCCTTCCAGACTCTGGAACCCTGGGCAAAATCACTTAACCTCTCTGAGCTACAAGCATTGCAGCCCATATAAAATCATATAAAATGAGAGGCAAGCACTGTGAAGATGAAATGAAATGAAGCATATAAAAGGCTTTTAAACTAGAAAGCAGCATAAAAATGTGAGGTACCCACATTATTACAATTATTTAATCAATGGACCAGACACATTTTATTGCCTCACTTCAGAACTGCTCCTGGAAATTCTCTCTCCTGGCCTCGGCCAGGACTGTCCACCTACCCTCACCATGCCAGGAACACGGGTTGGCTGCAGAGAGCATGGCTACAGCCTTCCCAGATCCAGTCTTCCCAGCCAGCCTCCCTTTGATGGTGTCTGGAGCGAAGCAATACTATAAAATAATTCTTTAGAAGCCAAGGGTAGAAAATTAAAAGGATCACTAATCCAGACAGAAAAAGTTCTGATTTATTGCTCTAACCCCTCTTGTCATGAAATGGCAGTGAAATAAAAACACCATTCTGTAGGATGAAGGGAGAGGAAATTTAGAGTTGGACAGAAAAATCCAAAGGAAATGAAAGTGCTAGTGTGCTCTGAAAAGTAACTCTCCAAATATGCCACTGGGTCACCCTGACGCTTCCAGGCCTGCGGCGGTCGGTTTACACTGAGTGGAGGCCTCTCCCAGCTGATGGTGCTGCTAACTGCACTGGGGATTGTGTGACCTCTCACGTCATCACTGGACCAGTTAAGAGGGCAACTGAAAGCTAAGCTGACAAGGTCAGGAGAAGATGAACGAGGCAGGGCGGAATTCTGCTGCCCCACCTCCTGGGCTAATGGAGCTTGTGCGGGCTGCTGACTGCAGTGGTCAGGCTCTTAGGAAGCAGAGAAACGGGGCAGGAAGGGCTGGTGTTTCACTCTGCTTTTTAAATACATTTTCAGATAAAGCCTTTCTATGAAGACCACCAAGGCTGTAATCTCTGAATGTGGTCAACAAACAAAGCATCGCATTTAGAGTGAGCAGACCCATCTTCAGAAACAAGCATTGAGTAGGTTGCATGTGGAAATGCAAACCAGACTTACTTGATCTAAATCTCCTTTCTCCATGGCCAGTTCTTCCATCTCTGGTGTTGGCTCATCTTCCAGGAAGGGATTGCTGGATGGGGGTGGAGACTCAAGTTTTTTCTGTTAAGACACGAGAACGAGATATGCATTTTCCGAGCTTTCCCCATTGATCTGCTTTTTCCCAGTCTCTACAACAGCTACATCATGAAATCTGATCTAATTAGCAAGAACGGAGACAATGTGGACCATATTCTCACCTCTAGGCCTTCACAGTGCTTTCCCATCTTCTTGAAGCCTTATTGCCCACTCTACCCCCATCCCAATCCCCATCTGGCTAAAACTCACTCATCCTTTGGTCTTCAATTAGAAGTCCCTTATACTGGGAAGTCTTCCCCAATGTCAAGTTTGCATTAGGTGTTATTGTCATCATCCCATCTGGTACATCCCCTACCCAGGTATTTATTAAAATGCTGCAGTTGCTCATTTACTTGTCTTCTCCTTCCTGGATACCATGACGGCAGGAATCATGTCTATCTTGGTTCCCCATCCTATCTCTGGTGCCTGGCATATAACAAGTGCTCCATACACATGAATGAATCAAAATGCCAGATGGGTCTGAACTCAAGAACAAACTATAGCTGGGCGCAGTGGTACACACTTGTAGTCCCAGATACTCAGGAGGCTGGGCGGGAGGACTGGTGAGACCAGGATTTCTGGGGCATGGTGTGTCATGCCCACCAGGTGTCTGGACTGAGTTGAGCATCAATATGGTGACATCCCAGAGCAGGGCACCACCAGCTGCCCAAGGAGAAGTGAACTGGCCCAGACTGGAAACAGAGCAGGTTCCAACTCCCTGAGCAGTAGTGGGGCTGCACCTGTGAATACCGCCGTACTCCGCCCTGGGCAAACTAACAAGACCTCATCTCTTTTATGCCCTCGGCAATGAATCAACAGAAACGATAGCGTGATACCACCACCTCTTCATCACCTAACCTTTAAAAAATAAAATAGCACAAACTATAAACCTAATCAGATGTGTTTTAGATTACAGACAAAAGTTCCTTCCCGGGTAAGTCCCACTACAACCACCACCACGAAATCTCCTTGAGAAAAATTACTTCCTGGCTTCTAAATATGAGCACTCTTTCAAAATCTAACATTGAGTGGGACCGCGGGCTGGTGGGAAAGCTGGAGGCGGGAGAGGTAGGTTTCAGCTCCAACTCTGCTGCCTTGGCCAAATCATCTAGCTCCTCTGAGCCACAGCAGGCGCAGTAGCTGCATGAGGTTACAGTCATAGGACTACTTAAAAAATCAAATGTGATAAAGTGTGTGAAACCCTGGAAGAAGCACGTGATACCTATAAGGGACACTGGTGACAACAGTTCCAGGGCAACAACAGAATCGAGGCAGCTCTTTGGAATTTTTTACAAATTTGACCTTGAGATGTTTATGCCAGGGCGCTGGGAGCTCTAACAGAAAGGAAACTCAGTGCACAAGCAGGATGAAAGGAACTGGCTGGTGCTGGGGACAAGGGGAAGGGGCGGGGAATGGCTCTCTGGAGACAAGAAACCAGGTGCAGAGGGAGTTTCTAAATGTGCTGTGACATTTTAGCATATCTCAGTGGAGAAACTTGAACTAATTCCTAGGCCAAGAGGGACAGCAGATGGACTACAGTGTGAATGACTTTGTCAAGTGCTAATGCCAGGGTATCAGCTAAAGATATTAAAAAAAAAAAAAAAAGAACAAAATCCACCTGTGTCTGTGTCTGGATTAGGCTTTAAGGCAATTCTGCTTATGCTCACATAAACTACTGAATTCTGGGCCAAAGCACTTGGATGCCATTGCATAGCTAGATGGTGTATAAAGAAAGCCTTGTGATTAATGCATTAGCTCAAGGTAATCATTAGCAGGATAACGATTTTTGTGGTATCCTGCTGAGAAACAATATGGTCTGACAACCAAGCACACGTTCCAAATTTATACACTCAGACCTCTGGCTTCCTGACCTGATACAAAAATAATGCCTATAAACTTAAAGTTATTTAAGTTTATTTTTAGAATTAGGCTATTTTTAGAAAGAAATGTTTCTTTGAAAACAATTTCAAAGCTTTATTTGTCTTGTAAGGGCTGCTAGTAGTCCGGGGAAAGAGGAATGGTGAGAAAGGGAATCTACGAAGCCCAAGCTTCAACAACATAGAACATTCACTACTGGTGTTGGTTTCCTGATTCCACGGGCTCGACAGTGGGTCTGGGGATCATACGGTTGAGCTGAATCTCTATGTTCTGAGTCATTGGTCCTTTGGATATGTGGAGAGCAAGTCAACAACTGGAATTAAAAGCTTTGTTCAAAATCATTCAGTGGCAGAACAAGGATTTATGAAATTTATAAAATCTTTGAACTAAGCATTCTTCATCTATTGTTAGGGTTACCAGGGTTGACAATAACAGCTCACAATTACACAGCTGTGTCTCATTTTAAGAACAATTACTGGAAATCATGACAAAAAAGTAGACACTGGTCAAGTGAGCTGAGGGTGTTCCTGGGCCCCACTCTCCCTGGGGGAGTGTCTGCTGGATAGACGCAGGAAGTGAAACATATAAGGCAGCGTTGGAAAGGCAGCTGGGGTGGCACGGGCCACTTGCTCAGTGTTATGGTCAGAAGAGTCTCAAGGTCTCTTTGCTGTTCCCATGGTCTGCCTCTATTAATATCTCAACGGGATTTCTGACAGTCATGGGTACTAAAGAACTCCTTACTCATTCATTTGGGGTATATGCATTCCAAGTATGGATGAAGCTGATGCAAAAAACATGACTGATTCCTCTCCATTCATCCACTCACAGATGGATGTGCCAGGCACTACGAGTAAAGCAATGAGCAAGACAGACCTCCCGCTACCCTCATGAAGATTATGGGCGAGTGGGGAGATGGACTTTAACCAAATAATTGCACAAGCGTGTGATAAGGGCCATTCAGGAAAAGCTGAGGTTGTTATGAAGGAATGCAATATAGAGGATCACTGCAAACTTCCCCAAGGGGATGATGTTTGAGCAGAACTGAAGGGTACTCCAGAGTTAAGTATGTGAAGGGTATGCGGAGTGGGGTGGGGCAGCCAGAGCTTTCTAGGCAAAGAATAGCATCTGTCTGCCATTCATTCAACAATCACGGACTAAGCATCTGCTGTGTTCTAGGCACTCTTCTGGGCACTACAAATGCAACCCTGAACAAGACTGATAAGGACAGGAGGCGCTGTAAGGACAAGAAACTTCAGGAACTGGGGTGATCAGATAGTTGAGCAGAGACCTAAGAGGGAACCCATCAGGCAAAGACCTGGGGAAGAGCATCCTCAGCAGGGCGACCTGGTGCAAAGGTTGGGATGAGCTTGTTGAGTGTGAGAAAAGAAGACAGGAGATAAGAGAGGCAGCAGGAGCTCAAACACACAGCCTTGCGTGGGCCATGGTAAAAGTTAGATTTTTCTTATTGCAATTGGGCAGTCGGTGGGTGTTTTAAACAGGGAAGTGGTAGGATCTAATCTAGATTTTAAATATCATTCCATTACCATGGACAGTAATGGAAGCAAGACCAGTTTAAGAGGCAGCTGCAGTGTTCTAGGCAAGGGCTCACATGGGGAGTAGACGGACCTGGCATTGTGCAGACAGGAAAATGTAGCCAGATTGGGGACATATTTAGGAGAGCAGGTCAACAGGACTTGCTGAGAGAGTGGCTGCGAGAGTTAAGGAAAAGAAGGAATTAAGGATCATTCAGTCTTTGGCCTGAGCAACTGCATGGCTGGTGTCACCATTAACTGAGCAACAAACCCTGGGTTGGAGTCAGGCTGTGTTTGGGAATATTGGTTAACATCTCCAAGCCTCGGTTCTTCTACATGAAATGTGAAGGGCTATTAATGCCCCTGCACAGAGCTGTCATGAGAATTAAGTGAGATCATGCATGTAAAGCATGAGCTATGTACATAAAGCAGCTTAACACAAGGCCTGACACATAGGGAAAGCTCAGTTAGTGGTGGCACTCATTAGCATTTAATAGGGTCGGGCAACTAAATAAGGCAGAAGTGCAGTTGTGTTTCTCTGGATGAAGCAACTCTCAGAAGAGGAAGAAATGGGAGCACCGGGCCAAGAAGTCTTGTAAAGATAATTCCCTTTACTCACAAGTAAGGTCCTGTCCCTACTAGTTTGTCTCTGGGATCTCTCCAGAAAATAAAGGCAATGGGCCCATCAAGTTACAAGGCACAGGATCACTGAGCTTCCTTCCCTTGTCTGTTGCAAATCCCATAAAGTACCAAATGGACCACTACCCTGCTGGTAAATGTGACCTGACAAAGCCCTGAGGGCAGACATAGACTCGGCTACTTAGAGCACTATACTCCTGCTCCAATCAGCCCTCAGAGGTGAAGGAACAGGCCTTTGCAGAGGGCTGGCAGAGCCCGTTGTCACAGCAACCAGACGATACTTTTCATTCTCGCTTTGCAGCTGCTGTAAACCATAGAGAATTACAAGTTTGGGTTTAGATTTTAAATAACTTAAATGACATACTCCATGAGCTCTGGGGCAGATAAATGAGACCTAAATTTGCCCAGAAATGAATGACTTTCTGATTTTAAAAGAATGCTTTTTTTTTTTTTTTTGCTATGAGAGTTGATGTCAAGTCTACATAGGAAAGAGAATTTCTTCATGCAGTAAGTTAATTCCTACTAATTAAACCACATGGGATTCCCAACACCTCCAAAGGCATCAGGGCTACAGGCCAGTCAAGCTGTCTAATTTACTGTTAGGAAGACCGAACTGGGCTTCAGTCAGTAGTTATATATATCTGGGCCTGTCTGTACCAATTCCTTTCTGAGGCCCTAGCTGGACACTTCAAATGATCAAAGAAGGAACTCTGAAATTCAAGACTAATCTGTCTCCCTGGAGGAGAAAGCATTCAGTTAAGAAATGCAAGTCCCACAATTTCTGCACTTCTTATTTCATAAATACCTGACCCCAGCCCACTCCCTAATCTGTCCTTACTAAGATGGTCTGGAGGCTTCAGCTGACGGGGATGTGAACACAGAGCTAAGCACACTGGGTTTAGCACTGCTGGGACCCTTCTCTTGGCGCCACCACGT